TCAAGTGAGCCATCTGGGGCGAAAGCCATTCTTTGTAGCATTTTCTCTCTAGCCTCCCATTGCATCAGGACCCCACAATCAGTTAGTGTCCTCTCCCCAACCATCAGCACAGGCAGCAGGAATCTTGCTGCAAACCTCTCTGGAGCTCCATGTGCTCCTCCACCACAGCCTGTACTATCAAGGGAAGAATGACTTCCAGGGGGGTCTCCCCAGGTATTGCGCAAGGTCCTCCTGGTTTACAGCTTCCGAATGGCTTTCATGACCCCAGTCCACAGGACCTCTGACTCTTCGGGCTTAGTCTGTATTCTCGTGTTCTCCAAGTCCTTGTTCAGCAGCTGCTCCTCCACTGACTCTGGACCTTTCTGGTTCTCAAAGGCAGGAGCAAGAGTGACCCATTGTATGGCATGTATTCCCAGGGGTTTCTCCATGTTGGGATGATTCACACACATCCATGAGTGAGCCTCCACAGCTGGTGCATGGTGGGCCAATTGTGTCATTGTTTCTCTGTGCCATGGTAGTTCTCAATTGAGTGGTGGCAGCCAGCCTGAGGGCTGGCGCACGCCACTGCATGCCACTGCATGGCTTCCTGGGTACCGGGGGCCCTCCTTCTGGACACCTACAAGGCAGGGAGCCAGCCAAAGACCAGTGCTCCCTGCCACATGGCTTCCAGGGTGCTGGGGCCCCTCCTCCCAGGCACCTGTGAGGCTGGGGGCTAGCCCAAGGGCCAGCGCTCCCTGCCCTGTGGCTTCCCAGGCACTGGGGGCCCTGCTTCCGGGCACCTGCCAGGCAGGGAGCCAGCCCAAAGGAAAGTCAAGTAATTTTTAAATGTTACAAAGATATTTGTCCAGTTGACAGTGGCTTTGATATGCAGTTAATAATGCTTTCAAAACTACTTGAGCATAAGATTTTCCTAGTTTTGCATGATAATAAAACATATTAGAAGAAAAGATTTTTATTTATCTATACTTATTATTGTATACATTTAAAATGTACAATATGATGTTTTAGATTTAATTTATTTTTAAAGTATACATGGTTCAAAGGTAAAAATATAATATATAGATTAGCAGTATAGCTCAGTGATAGAGCACTTGTCTATCATGTGCTCATCTTTTTTTTTTTTTTTTTTTTCTCCGGTACCGGAACCGAAC